GCTGCTGCTGCTGCTGCTGCGGCGGCGGCTGCTGCTGCTGCTGCTGCTGCTGCTGCTGCTGCTGCTGCTGCTGCTGCTGCTGCTGCTGCTGCTGCTGCTGCTGCTGCTGCTGCTGCTGCTGCTGCTGCTGCTGCTGCTGCTGCTGCTGCTGCTGCTGCTGCTGCTGCTGCTGCTGCTGCTGCTGCTGCTGCTGCTGCTGCTGCGGCTGCTGCTGCTGCTGCTGCTGCTCCCGCTGCAACTCCAACCTCTCACGCTCCAAACGCTGCTGCTCCTCACGCTCTAGACGAAGAAGGGCCTGGTAACGAGTCGGGTAGGGGTGAGGAGGAGGAGTGGTGTCAGGAGACGCAGCAGAAGAACCTCCTCCGTCCTCGACAGTACCCGGCTGAGCACCCCCAGAGCGAGTACCTCCCGCGGCAGCACGACCAGTACCTGTAGGAGGTGTACCCGCACCCCCAGTCGTGGTGCGCCCAGTGGCACCAGCACCAGCCCCAGACTCTCCAGCTCCAGAAACACCACCAGCTCCAGCACCGCCACAGGCTCCAGTACCCTCGGAACGGGCAGCTGCGGCAGGTGCACGCTCAGCGCCAACGCCAACACCCCCAGAACGGGCGGCTCCTGTAGGTGCACGAACAGCTCCAACGCCAGCACCCCCAGAGCGAGCACCGCCAGAGCCCTCACCTCGAGCACCAACACCCTCAGAGTCCGCAGTGGCCGGCAGAGGAAGCGCTGACGGCTGCTGCGGAGGCTGTGAGGATGACTGAGGGGAGGGAGGAGAGACCTGTTCGGGTACCGAGGGGGGGGGAGTAGCGTGGGACACACCAGACGGAGCGGAAACAGGAGGGGGTACCGGAGGAGCAGGGGCGGGAGGAGGAGGAGCTGGAGCCAGGAAGAGGGGAGGGGGGGGAACCGGGAGACCTCGACAGGGGTACCTGACGTAGTAGGGGACGGACTCGTCGAAACGGACGTCACGAGAGTCAAAGAACCGGTGGGAGGGAGGGTGGTAAAAGGTGAAGTCAGAGGAGTCCTCTGGGAAACCAAGGAAGACACAGGGGACGGCGCGAGGTGAGATCTTGTCCGCAGAGGTGTCGCGGACAAGAGCCAAGCACCCCCAGACACTAAACCTCGACGCAACACCAGGGGACCCTGTCCAAAGACTGGTCGGTGAAGCCCCTGGCCGAGAGACGCGAGGCCAGAGGTTCAACTGGTGAGCGGCGTACCGAGCCGCGTAGGGCCACAGAAAATGGGGCGCGCGAGCGTGGATCATGGAGGTGCGGGCAATCTCCATGACCAGGCCTAGGCGGCGCTCAGCAACCCCATTCTGCTGTGGAGAGTCTGGAAGAGTCCAGGACTGGGTGATGCCCTGCTCAGCACAGAATCTGGCGAGAATGCCGGAGCGAAACTCACCCCCACGGTCGGAGTGGAGACAACTGACACGACGACGGCGAGTACTCTCGGTGGCGAGCAGCCACCGGATCAGCGTAGAAGTCACGTCGGACTTCTTCGCCAAAGGGAACACGGTGGTGTACCGAGAGTAGTCGTCAACGACCACCAAAAAGAAACTCTCCCGCTCAGGGCCAAGACGGCTAGCGGGGCCCCAGACGTCTAAGTGGAGTGTCTCGAAAGGCTCAGTGGCCGGACGGAGGGAGGAGGAGTGAGGGGTGGCGCGCAGCCGACCCTGGACACAAGGACCGCACGGAGGAGCTGGGGACGGCGGGAGCGGCGGAAGGACTCGGGGGAGGCCTAAGACAAGACGCTGACTGGACATAGCGCGGAGACGAGGGAGGGACGGGTGACCAAGGCGGTGGTGCCAGAGGAGGGAGGGGTGGGCAAGCGACCGACACGAGCACGACGCAGCAACTAGACCGGACACAGCAACCTGACTGGACCTGGCTACCTGGTGGGACGGAGGAACCTGACGGGGGTCGGTGTGAAGGGTGTACAGGCCGGAGCCCGGCTCCTGGCGAAAAGTGGCCAAGGGGGCGTACGTGTCACCGTCCACACAGACCGCGGTGTCACCAGAAGGCTCAACCCAGACCCCGACGTGCTGTCTCGCCAGGGGGGCCACACCAACCAGGTTCCTAGAGAACGTAGGAACGTGGAGGCCAGTCAGGGAACCGGAAGGAGCAGCTGGGCACGGGAGCGTAGTGGCGTGAGTCGCAATGACCGGTCCCGAAGAGGGATCGGCCAGTGCTATGGAGACTGGCGCCGGTAGTGGAGAGAGAGTCGTGCGGTCGCGAAAGAAGCACTGCGTCGCTCCTGAGTCCAGTGTGAAAGAGAGAGAGGCGTCCGCCGAGGGAGTACCTGTACTAGTAGCTAAGCAAGATCCTACACTAGCAACCACTACTCCTCGAGGTGTTATGCAATGGGCGACGCCTCCAGGCACTGGTGGACAGCGGTGCATCTCACTCGGTGTGTGACCGCGGAGCATTGGAGATAATTGGACTCTAGCAACAGGCAAAGATCCTAAGCTAGGTACAGGCAAGTACACAGATCCAGGAGCACTATAGTCAACATCAGCATACATGGCATAGGACCTAGCATCATCCATAGTCATATCAAAAACAGCAATACCACGAGCAAGAAGCGTCCCCAGGCGTGGTGGCGGGGGAGCGGAGGGGCCGTGGTGCAAACGGTAGAGGTCGTCGAGACGACTGAAGCAGCGTGCAGCAGAGTGGTCGGGGCGGCCACAGTACGAGTCCCTACGAAGACCCGTAAGGATCCAGTACTCACAGGGACCAACGTCGCGGCCGGCCGAGCGAGGCCCCCGACTGGAGGGGGCACCACTGCGCCCAGTGCTCGGGGGACCAGCAGACCTCCACTGCTGCTGAGGGCCCCACTGCTGCGGCGGGCCCCACTGCTGCGGCTGCTGCTGTGGCGGGCGCTGCTGCTGCTGTCCCTGCCGCTGCTGCTGTCCAGGCGGTGGCAGCTGCTGAGAAGTCGGCTGCTGCTGCTGCTGCTGGAACCCCGCACCACCAGTGAGAACTCCACCGTCGAGAGGAGGGCCGTCAGGGCCCGAGCCACCCCCAGCACTACTCCCACCACCTGCCCCACCGCCGCCGCCACTACCCGCACCACCCCCAGTACCCCCGCCGCCCTTCCCGCCCTTCTTGCCGGCCTTGCCACGTTTCTGTCCGCCAGAGACAGAAACAGCCGCCGTCTCCTCAGAGGAAGAAGACGTGGGGGTGGCAAGTGAGGCAGTGAAGGTGGGAAGCTGTGGTACCGCACACCCCTCAAAGAGACGAGGAGGAGGCGCGGAAGAGGCAGAGGCAACAGTGAGGAGGTTACTCTCGATCTTCGAGAGAGCGGTCTCAAGAAGATCGATGGTGAGCTCAGTGGGGTGCTTCAGAAGAAGCGCGTCGCGGGCTGTGGCTAGGCGGTCAGGGAGTCGAGTGACTAGCCAGTGAATAGTGAGCCACATAGGGGGCGGGGCAAGGGCAAGCTGGTCCTCAGTGCAAGCAGCGCGAAAGCGAGCGTCAAGAGAGCGCAGGTGGGTAGCGAGGTCAGAGACAGTCTCAAAGGAGTTGAGGTCAGGGTAGATAAAGGGTACGAGGAGGCGACTGAGCGAAGCAGAGGAGGGTGTGGAGTAGCGAGCAACAATAGCCTTATATAGATCTGCAGCAGACTCGACCTGAGCGAAGTGGACCGCCTCTGTCGGCGGGAGAAGGTCGGTCAGGGCGAGGCAGGCAGCGGCGTCACGAGACTCCCACACGTCACGAGCGAGGAGCTGGCGCTGGTACTCGGCCTCTAGCTCAGGAGTAGGCGGTGGGGTAGTGGGCAGCGGCCGAGGCTGCAGAGGGGCGGTCTGAGCGCCGGACGCGTGTGCGAACAGGTGCACGCCATCCTGCCGCTGGCTCTTAAGGTGGCGCTGCGCCTGCGTAAGCCACGTACTAAAGTCAATCGGTCTCCCCTCAGGGTCAAAGCGAAGTACTCGGGAGGTCGCCATAGAAGGCGAAACTGAGAGAGCACGGCTGCCAGTCGCGGGAGGGGGGGAGACCGTGAGTAGCGTGTAGGCGTGCAGGCGGGCAGACGGCGCGGCATATGGAGAGGCGGGCGGCGCAGTGCGCTAGTTGGCGGGCGGCGCGGCGCGTTGGCCGGCGGGCGGCGCGGTGAGAAGGGGCGGGGAGGAGGGCGCAACGGTAGGAAAGGGGCGGGGAGGAGGGCGCGACGGTAGGAAAGGGCGGGGAGGAGGGGGCGCGACGGTAGGAAGGGCGGGGAGGAGGGGCGACGGTAGGAAAGGGGCGGGGAGGAGGGCGCGACGGTAGGAGAGGGCGGGGAGGAGGGGGCGCGACGGTACGAAGGGCGGGGAGGAGGCGCGACGGTAGGAAAGGGGCGGGGAGGAGGTGGGCGACGGGATTGGAAGGGGAGAGGGCGACGCGCGGGGCTGCGGGGCGGCTAAGCGTGCGGCGCGCAGGCGCAGCGGGCTGCGGCGCGACGCGACGAGCAGCGCGCGGGGTCTGCGGGGCTGCGGGGCGACGCGACGAGCAGCGCGCGTGGGGCAGAGCGGGCAGGGCAGCGCCCACGAAAAAAAAAAAAAAGAAAACGGAAAAAAAAGCGCGCTGCAGCTGCAGCTGCGGCAGCGCGACTCGTAGGAGGGCAGGGCGGGCGCAGGGTAACGCGGTAACCAGAGGCGATTTTAAGGTGGGCCCTAAAGGAGGTAGGTTTAAGGTCCTAAGGACCTCTAGCTCTATACCATGTCACAATACTTAGGCTAGGATGGTTGATTAGGTCAAGGGGGGGAGTACAAGAATGTCGAGAGAAATTCTGTACCCCCTAGTGTCAACCCCAATATAGCCTATCTAAACTAAGCATGCATATAATTTTGGCAACCCACTAGAGGCTATAACATTTGACAGAGAGGGAGGAGAGGGAGGAGAGGGAGGAGAGGGGAGAGCGGGAGGAGAGGGAGGAGAGGGAGGAGAGGGAGGAGAGGGAGGAGAGGGAGGAGAGGGAGGAGAGGGAGGAGAGGAGAGGGAGGAAAGAGGAGAGGGATAGAGATAGACTCACGGAATGGGCGTTGCAACAAGGTCATTGTTGATGGGCACGGCGGAGCTGAGAGAGATGCCAGTGCAGAAGGGCTGGGTGTAGATGGTCATGGTGGTGCACCTCACATACGTGGCAGGCGCACGGAACAGAATGCCCACCGACTTGCTGCTGGCAACCACGGCGGCAGGGATGGTGACACACTTGTTGGGCTTCAGGCGGAAGACGTACGGCGGACCACTCTGTGTGCCGAAGCTGGTGGTGCTGTAGATGCTGATGGCGATGTCTGCCACGTCAGGCACGACTCCTGGCGGGAAAGGCAAGGAGATTGGATTGTTGGACGCAGGGGAGTGGTGGAGAGGAGAAGATTCAGGCTGAGAAAGCATAAGACAGCAAGAAAACTTCTGGCGCTAGAGTACCCACCTGGCAGGCTACACCCACGTGACAGGCTACAGTACCCACCTGGCAGGCTACAGTACCCACCTGGCAGGCTACAGTACCCACCTGGCAGGCTACAGTACCCACCTGGCAGGCTACAGTACCCACCTGGAAGGCTACAGTACCCACCTGACAGGCTACTGTACCCACCTGGCAGGCTACAGTACCCACCTGGCAGGCTACAGTACCTACCTGGCAGGCTGCAGTACCCACCTGGCAGGCTACAGTACCCACCTGGCAGGCTACAATACCCACCTGGCAGGCTACAGTACCTACCTGGCAGGCTGCAGTACCCACCTGGCAGGCTACAGTACCCACCTGGCAGGCTACAGTTCCCACCTGGCAGGCAAGCACCAGAGCGCATGTTGAAGCCCGGTGGGCAGTAAGCGTACGGAAAAGAGTTGTTGCCAAAGGTACCCTGAAGGCAGTCTTTGCATTGACCCTCTCCTGTAGGCAACATGGGGGTTGGGGGAAAAACGGAAGGGATGGCAGGAATCTTTCGAACACCGATAGGTAATATCGGTTGATAAGGGAAGAATCAGACAGGGAGAGCACACACAGCAATGTAAGCACACATAACAATCTACGCACTCATACCGATGTCAGAACGCATACCAATGTGAGCACAACATACCAACATATATGATGTACGCACACATACCGATGCATGAGCACACACACTAATGCATGAGCAGAGCATACTTATCAATGCATGAGCACATACACTAATGCATGAGCAGAGCACACATACCAATGCATGAGCCAGTTAGGAACTCCCGCTCGTAGCCATCTTTGCAAGAACAATACGGCTCGCCGTTCGATAGAAGCACGCAAGTGCCACCGATGCCACATTGCTTGACGGAGCACGAATCTGCATCAAAAGAAAGAATCAGCAGACTGGCAACATCAGGAGTGTGCATTCATAAAGACATTCTGGACGAAAACGGATCGATGAGAGCACAGGACATGTCGTGCATGCAGGACAACTTAGCGGAGGGAAAGGTGCTACGTCTTGACGCACATTGGCCAACTGCAATGTCACGAGTCATGAGTCATGACGCACATGGGTAAACTGCCATCATGCGTGCAAGCGTCGACAGATGGGAGTGCATGAATGAATCAAATCACGGAGTGTGCAGCAGGGGTATCCATGAATCACCTCCCATCTCATGGTCCACCCAACTCCACTCACGACTCACCAACGCAGTAGCCCTCGGGAACCAAGGTCAGTCCAGGATCACACACGCACTGCGCGAAGGAGCTGTTGGTGAGGACGCACTTGGAGTTGGGCGGGCATGCCGCCGTGGCACAGAGGTCCGTGACGGGCGGCTTCACGGCCGCCAGGCACGAGAACGACCTGCCCGCCGCCACCACGCCCGCTGCCTTCCTGCACTCCGTCACAACAGGCAACACACGCACGAGTCACGATTAGTGTATGCAAACACAAGCAGAGCCACGATCAACGCAATCAGCAGAAGCAGAGCCACGGTCAACATAAGTAACAGACGCGGAGACAAGATTAGAGCAAGCAAACTCAAGCAGAGCGACGGTCAACAAAAGTAACACACGCGGAGACAAGATTAGTGCAAGCAAACTCAAGCAGAGCCAGGTCAACAAAAGTAACACACGCGGAGACAAGATTAGTGCAAGCAAACTCAAGCAGAGCCACGGTCAACATAAGTAACACATGCGGAGACAAGATTAGTGCAAGCAAACTCAAGCAGAGCCACGGTCAACATAAGTAACACAACCAAAGCCACTCGCTCGACCTTGCCCCACTGGCTCGCCCCTGCGCTGTGCCACTCACTTGACGCTGGTGGTGGCGTATTTGAAGTTGTCGGCCTTGGCGGCAGTCCACTTGCCGGGAATCTCGTACACAAACGAAGAGCCAGAGCAGTCATTCTTGTCCCAGAACACCACCTTGCCGCACACCAGGTGGTCACTCGCGCCGTCATTCACGTTCCACATGATGCGCAGCGACCCCACCGTGCCGTTGAACCCCTTCGGGACAACAGTACATGCTGATGAGTTGGGTGCTGGCGCGCGCAGCACGGCAGGCGCGAGGGTGGCGGGCGAGTTGGCGAAGGAGGGCGCGTTGTAGAGCACCACGCTCGTGCCGACCGTCTTCCAGCTCATGGAAGGGGCGGGGGAGGGGGAGTGGAGATGAAAAGGGGAAGCCGCCGCTGTCCACCACGCAAAAGGCTCCCGTCGGGCAGACCACGTCACTGGGGCATGTGGCTGGCGGCGGGGAGAAGGGAACTGGGAGACACGGACCGGTGGATTAGGGGCGTCATGGGGAGATTAAATTCTCAAACAGTGTGGGATGGAATGGGCGAGTCAAACAAGACGGACGACTGCAGACCCTCATACGACTGATTAAAACGCTCAGACGACTGATTAGAACGCTCAGACGACTGATTAGAACGCTCAGACGACTGATTAGAACGCTCAGACGACTGATTAGAACGCTCATACGACTGACTAGAACGCTCAGACGACTAATTAGAACGCTCAGACGACTAATTAGAACGCTCAGACGACTAATTAGAACGCTCAGACGACTGGACCAGAACGCTCACCAGGCGCCTTGACGGCCATCTCGCGGCGGGAGGCTTCACTGGAAGGCCACATGTGGCCCACCACGAGGCGATGCGGCGATGAGAGGCACGCCGCATGCAGCAGCAGCACGAACACGACGGCCGTCTGAGAATAAGCCATTCTCGCGGATGTATTGGAAGCACTGTGGTAGCGGGACGTGGTAAGCACGATTGGAAACACTGTGGTGCAAGAGTAGGAGACGCGGAGAAACAAAGAGTGGATCTGCAGGAGTGGGCTGTGATGAACCAACTCACAGTCCCAAGGTGAAGCGATGGAACTGCTGAGACGGGGACACTCACTGCTTTCACGCAACCAACGGCCGTGTAGCGCCTCGAAGGGGAGTCCTCTTTGGAACGTGGGTGAGGGGAGCGCCCAGGTCAGATCAACAGCAGCAGCGGAAGTCAACCCAAAGGGGAGCCCAGGCTAGAACAACAGCAGCAGGGAAATGCTGGGCGGAATGCCGTGCTGACGCGGATCATACGGGGTGCCATTGCCAACGTCCCTTTGCCCGCAAACGACGAACGTGGCCTCCATGTGGCGCCGACGTTGACACTATCTTCTGAAGGGCGGTTCATACGGGTGCTAGCGGCGTTACTGTACCACCCGTTGACAATGGGCTAAGGACCCTAAACATGATACGCCGGGGTTGCTGTACAAGACGACCCACTGCCCGGGGGTGCCACATAAACATGATACGCCCCGCGCTGACGCAGTAGGGGTGCCGATGTAGAACAAGATGCCTGCTAACCCACAACGGGTGCTGTGCGTAGAAAAAATCGGGCGGCTAGTAAACCCTAAAGTACCCCATCGACGCTGACGCCTGTGTGTTCTGGTACAGAGGTAGGCTACGCTACGCATTCTACGTCGTCTGTCGCGAAGAAGGCTTGAATCGCGATTGACGACGTGTGCAAATTTGTTACACACGAAAAAGTATAGTTGGTGTTATCAACACACTACGACTTACTGTACACGCACACATCGATCCCCTTCCTTACAGGTTCGATGTTTCAATTGTAACGCGTCTCAACCTTCCCAACCAAGGCTGCCGATGTGTTGCACTTCTGTGTGTTGCAGGTTTGTTGTCTTTGTGCAGCCAAACAGAGCCGTGTCAGCGAGAAGTGCGAAAACCAGTTTTGTTACTAGCTCCCATTGTGTCGTGCTTGACGAAACGCTCGCGAATGTGTCCGACACTCGTTGATCACAACAACGTGTTCCCGCCTCAAAGTAGGAGGGATCACTGAAAACGGAATCTGATCACCAAACAAGTTCCCAAGGCTGAAACCCTAGGCATGAAATTCTAGCGAAGGTCGACGCAGTTTCCTAGATACTTACGGAGATTTATAAGGTGCATTCTTGATGCGTGGTGTCTACCGCAAGTGCGCTTCGATCGTGACCCGCATTTCGTGCGTGCTTCGATGTTATTTTCAAACCCATTCTATTAGTGTGCTGGAATTATCACCAGTTATAGCGATTGCTGATACCCGGCCAGAGAAGTGGTTGCAGCGTTTTGACAGGCTATAGATAAGTGCAAGCGCTATCGCAATGTTGATCAGCATATTGAGCTTGTAAAGAGTATTGCTATGTGTCAGGTGGTCGATGCCACGTGACGTCATCGTTTTGGATCCGCCATTCCCATTTCTCCCATCTGCATTCATCCGTTCTCCCATCGGCATCTTATCCGTTCTCCCATCCTCATCTCCCACCAAAAAGAGGCGCTCTTTGTGTGAAACCCAGAACTATGGGTCTACCGGGACCGAATTTCACGGAACCTAGCCCGCATCAACGCCACTGATCTCGTCGTAGAACTTCCCCAGGCAACTTCGAAATACACCGCGAAGTCATTTGACGAGCAGACGTTCACCCGTCTCCCACCGTCATTTTTTTTTTCGATTGAACCCCCGACAATATCGGCGAGCCACTATTCACCTAGCATCCAAGTTAGTCCGATGAAGTGTAATTCCGTGTTGCCCGCGATTTTCTTGACACTCCGTGAAGGCGCGAACGCTATTGTAGCCAGATCATGTTTATTATATCAAATGGTCAGGCCGCACGCTCTTAACAGGAATGGAGTGTTGGCCCCGCCCTCGCTTGGGCAACGCCGACAACTTGGTAGGATGTACGGGAGAAGCAGTCAATCGTTCACAGTGAGGGAGCTGCTCGACGGGCTTCATCGAGCTGCAGGGTGTTACCGTGGGATTTCCGTCCACCAGGGGTGCGCGACGGGCACAACTGACTGGGCTGGACGACGGGTGGGCCGTCCACCAGGAGTGCCAGTTCGACAGGGAGGTCATTGGAGCAGTCCGACGACCCGACATTGGATGAGAGTTCTGGTCGACGGAAGGGGTCCGTCGACCAGGGGGCAACTCAACAGGAGCTGTTGTCGTCCAAGGGCACTTGGTGGTCGACCAGAGGCACCTGGTGGTCGACCAGAGACACCTGGTCGTCGACCGGGGGTCCTGGTGGTCGACCGGAGCACCTGGTGGTGTCCAGGTCGACCAGGTAACCTGCTCGGCGAGTTTTGCGGAGGCACGCGAACGTCGTTGAGGTCTCGATGACGAAGGCAACTTCGGGCTGGTATCCCGAAGTCGATGTGGCTTGTCAGGCGCAGACAACAGCCGACGGATGCACAGCAATGCAAGTCGGGCCAATCGTCTGCGCGCACCTGTGAGCGTGCGCACTGGTATCTTTTACGGGGCAATGCTGAACATCTACCCTGCTGCAGCGTTGGCGCGCCGTCGACCTGCTCTGCTGGCAGGTCGCCCTTCTGCAGTGCTTGCGGGGCTCGTCTACGCAACGCTGGCATGCGGTCGAGCATGCAGTGCTGGCGGTCGGCCAGGTTAGCTGCAGAGTTGCTAGGGGCCTGATGTAGTCAGTTTGTCATTGCTTGTTTAATCATTCTGTAATTTCTACTTTGCTAGTGGAAACTCTTACCGCTAGTTCGTAGGCCGGCAGCAGCGTTAGTCGCCATGGTCGACCCCGTAGCTGATGCGGGAGTAGCATAGACCTTGGAGGAACGTTTGGCTGATGCGAGGAGACGCCACGCGGATGGCGAGTACGGGACGATCCGCTGGGCGATCGCTGTGTTGGGCATCCGGGCGCAGTGGGCGACGGAGCACCCTTCCCATCTTGCACCTCCTCGACCGGTGCGAATCGAAGGTGGTGTCGACAACGAAGTCGACGGTGGTGCACGAGTCAGCGGTAGCGATGGCATGAAGAAGAGAGTGCAGCGGTCAACGGCAGCCGCACACGTGATTTTCTCGGCGAGGACTCTCTCACCAGCTACATCCTCCAAGATGAGGCGATGCAGGAGGCAGAACAGCCCATGGAGATCCTTTCGCAAGCAAGCTACGCTGCACCGACGAAGTAGAATCATCAGCAGGAGCAGGGCGGGAAGCTGGGCGGAGGTGGTAGCGGAGGTGGGCGGTCGACGAGAAGCGGTCGACGCGGGACAAGGGCCGTGGAGGTGGTGGTCGATGGCGGGAGTGCTGGATCTACCACGACCCCGACCATCTCTCCTACGAATGTCCCGAACGCGACGACAACGACGAGGACGTCAACAAGAGAAGCCGCGGTCGATCGGCCAGTCGTCGCCCCCGTCGAGATGCAAAGCCGTGCAGGGAGAAGCAGACGTCGAAGAAGACGTCGTCGACGAAGGACGTCGACAACTCCAGCGGCAAGGGCCGAGGCGACGGGGAGGCGTCGTGCTCGATGGTCGACGTGGTGGAGCCGACCATCTCGCTGGCGCCGGAGGCTAGCGAGGACTTCCAGGCGGTGGCGGCAGCTGTACAGGCCAACCCGATGGCAGTGCTGCTCGACAACGGGTGCTCCCACCACCTTATGGGGACGAAGGTGGTCTTCGTTGACATGGTGCCGAGCGACAGTGTGAAGCACGTGCGGGGCATTGCAGCCTGTCGAGGGTCGTGGAACCGTCACTCCGCAAGGAGGGGGAGGCCGGGAAGCGGGTCCTCATCCCCGACGTACGAACCTTCTGTCAGCTGAAGGACAGCTGACAGAATAGGCGAATCTTCTGTCAGCTGGCCAGCTAAAGGAGAGCGGAGTGCAGCTGCACGGCGACGGCGACGAGATGCAACACCGGACGAGCCCTCTGCACCGACCTTCGCCCCCGCTCGACGCGGTCGCCGTCGACCAAGGTGGTGGCCCTGAGGACGATCATCTCGGCGACGAAGTTGACCCAACCATCTGCATGCGAGGCTCGCACACATTGGCATCGACACGATCAAGAGCTCGGCGAAGCATGAAGTTGCTACTGGGCTCGACATCACGCCGTCGACCGGAGCAGACCCGCCGTGTGTCTCGTGCGTCGGAGGAAAGCTGGCACGGCACACCTTCCCCGACAAGGGCTCGGATGCCGAGGAGGCACTAGCTGACGTGCACATTGACTTGTGCGGGCCATTTCGGGTGGCTGCCAATTATCGCAGCTTCTACTTCCTGCTGTTGAAGGATCGTCACACTCGGTTCGTGTGGGCAATGCCGGTCGCTAAGAAGAGCGACGTGCTGCAGGAGTTCCAGAGATGGCT